TACCGCACTTGGTTTGACCATCTGATATTTGAATTACTGTTGAGACGGTATCAAAATCGTGAGGTGAGCACTTCACTCGCACCCTGGTGCTGCGCAAGCGCCGCCACCTAGCGGCGACTGGCCACACTGCGCCGCGGCGGCGAACTGCTGCCAACTGTTGAACTTTTAATTTCAACAAAATACAAAATATTTCAAACGCAATCAATCGCAATATCCTTTAGTGATAAAACACACTCAGACTTTGTACATCCCAAAACATATTCACTTTTGGCGATACTCGCTACAGCAAAAGAGTAGTGGTTGCTCCTCACGGACAGACAGACAGACAGACAGACTCACGACCAACGACACGCCAGGTCCACAGGAGAGCTCGGTCCACTGTTCCGGAGAGCTTCGCTTCGCTCAGCAACAAAAAGCATGAAACACGAGTACATTGGATTTTTTGTTTAGGCTTTGATTGGATTGTTTTAAAAGGAAAATGCCTCTTCTCACACTTTTACAAATTTCCGAAATATGCTCATTCCACTTAAGGTCTGAGGAAATGTTAATACCTAGAAATTTCGTTAATTTTACTTGTTCAATTTTGACATTGTTAATATTGATTGAAATTGCTGAATCGAGAGATGAATTAAAAAGCATGCAGATTGTTTTTGATAAATTTAGAGCTAGGCCTAAGGAAGAGAAAAAAATTTCAACTTTGGTCAGAACAGCAATAGCCTTAGCTTCGATTTCTTGAATAGTTTTACCAGGAATTATGATGGTGGTGTCGTCCACGTATAGAACAAATTCAGAAAGTATAAGCCTGATAATGGCACGAATGCAGTTTGTATAGATAATAAATAGATAGGGCCCAAAAAACTGAACCCTGAGGGACACCTTCTTTAACTATTCCTTTTTGTGAGACTATCAGTTGATTATTTATAGAGGTAATGCCAACAAATTGTTCTCTTTCCGAAAGATAAGACGAAATAAGGTTAAGAGGAATACCTCTGATTCCATATCTATCCAATATGGACAAGAGTATTTTGTGATCAACACAATCGAAGGCCTTGCTTAGATCTAGAAAAAGTGCTACTGCTAGAAGTTTTTGTTTTTTACAATTCAGGATATAATCATTAAC